TCATCATAAAAAACAGAAGTTTTTTCAATACAAGGCCCGAAAGATAGGTAAACTATCAATTCGGGGCCTGAAAGATTTTTTTCTCAATTCGGGACCTGAATGTTATAAAACTATCAAATTAAGTCCCACAATTTACAACACTCATAAAACCATTAAATTGAGAGTTAATTTTAAGTTTTAAAACACCAAATATGTTTTTTTAATATTATGCAAATGTTTACTTATTATTTTATGTGAGTAAGCAACAATCTTTTATTTTTCTTCAAATTTAGTGTTTTAAAACTTAAAATTAACTCTCAATTTAATGGTTTTATGAGTGTTGTCAATTGTAGTACTTAATTTGATAGTTTTATAACATTCAGGTCCCGAATTGAGAAAATTCTTTTAGGCCCCGAATTGATAGTTTACCTATCTTTCAAGTCTTGTATTGAAAAAACTCCTAAAATATACACATATTCCATGAACAATTAGGTTTGACTATCAATGATTCAATTCTACCTTATTCTGGTAGTACTGTTGTATTCAACTTCTATAAATTTAGTTTGGTAGTTTATTTTATTTATTTAATTATTATTATTATTATTATTATTATTATTATTATTATTATTATTATTATTATTATTATTATTATTATTTTTGTATCATGGCCATTTTTCTCACAGTAGGTTGGCGGATGGATATTATGTTCTAAATACGTAAATTGCAATGCCCTATAGTATTATGTGTGTACGGTTTTGCTATGGAGCCATCGGATGGCTCGGCTTATGGAGCCATCCATTGTTATTCACAAATGATGTATTGACACGTGTCCTGCAATAAATGCACATTGGACATGTGTAAGTATATAAAATTATGGATGGCTCCATAACGGAGCCATCCGATTGCTCCATAGAATTACTGTATGTGTGTAATAGTAAGATGATAATTATCCAATTGTATACATGGAAATCTCTCACATAGACAATTCAATTCTCAAACTTTACTTAGTGATTTAACCATTTATTTATCAATGCTCCAGAGTTCGTTAAAATTTATGTTCATAATTTTTAACTTATCTTATATTATATATATATATATTGACTTATATCATAAAATTAGATTTTATATGAATTAATTTAAATAATTTTATTTTTTTTTCAAATAATATTAATCCACAATTTATTTTTATTATAAAAATAAATAATATTATTTATTTATTTTGTATGTACGATATTCAAATCGAAGATCATCAAAAGATAACTAATCTATATATATATATATATATATATATATATATATATTATTTTTTAAATAATAACTGTTTCCCGCAAAAAAATGTTGTTTTCTAGATCTTGAAATTATTTAAACATTTTATGTTATGTTTTAAAGGTACAATTTAAGTAATTGGTGATAATTTATCATGGTACTAATCACATATATCAACCTTTAATATATCGAGATACACATTTCCTAAAACACTAACTCCAAGAATAAAGTGTATCCTTTGATTGTGGTAATCATATATTTAAAGAAAATTAATGAATATGAACAATTAAAAAGTAATAAATTTTTTAGCTATCTAACTTATGTAGTTTCGAATTATTTATTCTATATCGTGTAATTTGTAATTAAAACAATTATGAATTAAATATATCTTATATTTTTTTCTAAATTGTTTATTTATTATGACCTTTTTCATAATAAGAATGCAACTGACCATGAATAAAAACAACTAATAAATATAATAACAAAAAAATATTAAATTTATTTAATTGTGTGTAAAGTGATATTAGTATTCAATATCTATACGTATATAATCCATTCTGAAGATTACTTCGATTTTTTATTTTAAAAAATGTGTATAATGTAATTAATACAATTTGTATAAAAATTCTAAGAATAAGGAAATGAACTTTAAATAAACTGAAATGGATAATAATATATTGATACCTAACTAATACATATACATAACAATAGAAATGGATAATAATATATTGATTCCTAACTAATACATATACATAACAAAATAATATTCGAATTTATATTTTGAGTGATGCTACATAGCCATCCTCTATTACAACATGGTTTACAATCATGTGTAATAGAGGCATTGAAAAATGTGCATTATTGCATTTTTTAATGCCTCCATTACACATGGTTGTAAACCAAGTTGTAATGGAGGTTGGCTAAGTAGCATAATTCTTATATTTTATATGTATTCTGAGATATTCAAAATAACAAAGTTGTATATATAGATTTATTTTGCCAAATATTTGATAGATACCAACTTACAAATAAAAAACGCGTGCTGAAATATTACTTTGCAATATACAAAAGATCTATTTCTAAATAAATCGGTTTTTTTCCCAAAAAAAAAAGCATAAAGAAACGTGTGAATATATCTTTCTTTTTCCCGAAACGATAGATATATTATAAATCAAAAGTGCTCAAATGTGCGAATACAAGCAGCCAAAGGCTGAAAAGTGGGAGGACAGGTCAGAAGACCACTTAGAATCCCGACTAGCAACTCTAGAATAAAAACTCCCAACTAAACTAAACAACTCGAACAACTAAAACAATTAGAAAAGACCTCAACTAAACTACAACAACAACGCTAGAATATAGCTTTCGTTAGATAGAAATTTTATTAACAAAGAACTATGTTTTTTTCACATCCACTCAAGAAAACGTGTAAGTAATGTACATGAAGAACCTTGCAGCATATATAAAAACTTTTTTTTTTCAAATTAATTATAAAATCAATTATCAAAATATTATAATTTAACATAAATAAATGATATTTTCAAATTAATTAACTTGATGCAATTTCTCGACCATAAGTTGTCTTTTTTACAATTTTTTCAAATTAAAATATTTTTGGAATTTAATTCAAGCCTTTTACTAACTCTATAAATTGATACATAAATCATGTACTAACTCACATGCACAATATTCTTTTTTAATTTTGATTTTAGAAAATTACAATACGTTCAATATGAAGTGCAAATTCGGTGTGCCAAAGCAAGTTTCAAGAACCGACAAACCATGCTTGATGTTGTGGGTAATTCGAATAATTGCTCGCACTGAAAATAAAAATAATATGGAAATCCTATTTCATGAGGAGGTGGGTTTCATTTATTTTCATTGCAATTATGTTCTAATATAAATACTAATACTAATACTAATACTAATATTAATATTTGAAGTTTATTGTAATAACTTTAGTACTCATGTGCTTAAATGTAAGATACGATATTGGTTGTCATATAACTCTCCACTCATGTACTTGAGTGTAAGGTATTGACTGGATCTAATGCAGGAGACAAGGTGTTGAAGGTGTTAATACCTCAGATGACAAACACCTGCCGACTTTAGAGTACCTATAAAAATTTAACGGAGGCAGTTTCTCTAATGATTTCTTATGTCATGACGATTAACAAGAGTCATGGTCAGTCTTTATTACATGTTGGCATGTTCTTGAGAGAAGTCGGTGTTCAGTTACGTCCAGTTGTATGTAGCTATTTCCCGTGTCACTAAACAAAAGAACTTGAAATATTAGTTTGCGGAGGATGAAATATTACCTACAAGGAAGTTTTTAATAATATATAATAGAATTATTTATTCTATTTATTTATTTCTTTTATTCACGAATATAATAATAAAACTTGGTAAATAACTTTAAAATTGTGCACCCCGTGCATCGCACGGGATATGCACTAGTATGATTCGAATGCAAACATAATTGTTGGAAAAGTATGATATTTCAATTTAAATCCCCCTATATATAATTCTCGAATGTACCGAGTCTATATGGCATGCTCGCATGCTTCGAAAACCTAGGTGTCAAAATTTCATGTTTTATTATTTGGCTTGGATAGATTTTAATTTAATTTTAATCCAGAATAAATTAGGTTCGGATTACCATAAATATATTGATTTATTTATGATCATTTTAAATGTATTAATTGTATTTTAATATCATTTCCTATTATAGTTATTGAATGTAAATGTATTTTAAAAGTTCCCAACGTTTGTATTTATTATCGATTTTACATATATAATATATCAAATTAATCAAATTTTGATAACCTTGAATTTGACATCCATATTGTATATATAAAATAAATAAATTATATTTATCTTTATAATAATAAAATTTATTAAAATTAATTAGAAAAATAAAATTATTTCTCAACTAATATATTTATGTTTAATGTAGTTATATGTTATAAGTTAGAAAAAATTTATATAATATAACACATGTAAATCGCACAAGTTGCAAGTCATACTAAAATATATAATAATATATATTTTTTATAAAAAGTATTTAAATTTTCAATGACTTTTTTTCATTAATTTTAAATTTAAGAAAAAATTTTAACAAACACCCATGTAATAAATGTGCGCTAGTGTACAATATTTCAATTTAAATGTACGCATATTTGTTGAAAAATTAATAGCTTTCTAGGTTTTAGGTCTAGTAATAGTAGCTTTATTGGTTCGTTATTTATCAAAAGAAAGAGAAAAAAAATCTGAAAAAAAATAAAATAAAATAAACAGTCAATTTGTTTACATATGAATTCGTCTTGTGTCACTTGACATGTACGCATCAAAACAAAAACAAAACAACACCCCTGTAAACACTCCACACCACCGAAAAAATCAAATAAATAAAGCCTAACACTCTGCAATTTCTATCGATTTACACCCAAAAAAAACCAAGGGAAACAACCCATCAAAAGCTCAATCCATATGCCTGTAACTTGCAATTCATCACAACCTAGAAGCACTATGGTGTCTCCAATCAGTGCTCTCGTGTTGACGAGGCAAATAGGAGGGAAAATTGAAAGCAACGCGGACGACAATCAATTATTATCGCCCGAGCAAATATTGACGAAAAATATACAATGGAGATGTTGGACACAACAATAAACATTCGAAAAAGCATGCACAAACGAATGCAGCACCTTTGCTTCACGTTTAGCAACGAGTGCAGGATTTTAAGACAGATCATAAAGCAATCATTTATCTGATCTTTGATGTAAGAACACAAACCCTGAGTTCTCTCGGATTAAAGGGGGAGGCTCGACATCAGCTACATCTATTTGTTGCATGGATTTGGAGAGATCATCAACAGAGAAAGGAATGCTGCAAAAAAACCATAAATTTTGTCCTCTCAATGTTAAGCACCACAAAATGCAGAACTAAGAATATCAATTTCTTTTTTTTGTTTCGACTTTCAATGTCTACTCTCCATCCATCCCTCTTTTCTGTCTTTTTTTTTTTTTTTCTCTTTTAAATTTTTGTTCAATCAGACTATTATATGTGACAAATGGAAGTGGCCTAATTCACAAAATGCCTGTTGTATCGTAAAAAAGTCAAATGTTACCCAGAGGGAGCGAATTTCTGTTTCAGTAACTGAAATTTGAAACATGGTAAGGAAAACTAACCTTGAGTCGTCGTCTAATAGAAACGAACTGCTTATTGAATTGTTCGAGTCCTCTGTCATCATAACTCTCATACTTGAGATGACCTATATAAATGGTTAGGAATAGAACTATATAAACGAACAGATCAAAAGAAAAATTGAGAGCACAATAAAAAGCTGAAGTTTATAGCATCAAGGCAAGCTAATATACTTTGCGAGGTGGAGGGAAATACAAGTTAAAGAACCAACTTACATCTGAAGAAACACTGTGAGTGCCATATTTGTCATCCCAGTACATGGTGCTAATCCTGTACAACTGCTGGATGCTTAGCACCTGTAAAAAGGATAAAAATTGTTTAGGATTGAGAGACGAGGGAGAGAGAGAGAGAGAGAGAGAGAGAGAGAGAGAGAGAGAGAGAGAGAGAGAGAGAGAGAGAGAGAGATGGTTGCAGGGAGGTCAACTCACAGGACAAAGTTCCTTTGTAATTTCATTCAAGGTCTTCTTGGGCTTTTGATGTATGACCTGAAATAGTCATTAGACGATCCATTTATATCAGCTAATTTAATAAACAAAACAAATATAACGGCACCCAAATCGTCCAGACTAGGGATGGAAAGTGAATTTTGATACCCACCAAAAATCCTACTGCCTGCCTGATGTGCTTCAATTCATCCCAAGCCGAGCCTACGTACTGTACAACATAATTTGTTGGTAAGGCACGAAATGAGATCTCAATAACCGAATACTTAATGAAAGGCTTACTTCCTCAGTGGCGTAACAACACCATTGTTCTAACTCGGCTAACCCAGCTTTCACATACTCCCCGTTGCTGAATGAGCAACACTCGCGCCGTAAAAGAAGACTGAGCAGTTCGAAAGAAAATAAAGTTAATCGCAAATACTGAAGGAAATTTTCACATAGACACCACTAAATATTAGGCTATATATGATTTCCCTAAAAGACGGGCTTGCCTGTTGAATAATTGAACATTGATAAATGAGAATGTTTGAGTGAAAACCTTCCGGACCAAGAAAGCAGGAACCTGTAAAGACGTAAGACCAACAGAAAAAAATTGAAACTTTGAGAAGTAAAAAGGGGGAAAAAAGAAAAAAAGCAAATGTTGAATCAAGAAAAAAAAAAAAAAATCTTATATTACATAATTTGCTTTCATAATCTTCAAGCAATTGTCCAGGCTTTTGACAATGCTCTGCCAATGGGCAATTAGTGCTTGTTGCGCAACAGCATTTGCTTGTGAACGTCCTTTCACTAAGCTAGCACGGGATGTTCTGGGGGCCTGCAAGAAAGTAGGCATAGAAACCCAACGTACATCAGCTGTTTGCACAACAGAAACCATAGTTTTCTACTCTTCCAAATAATAATGAATTGAATGAAACCACAAATTTACCTCCCATCTTCCTCAGTATTTATGGCTAAATGCATTAAAAACATTAGGTACATATGGGATAAAAGAAAAGGATGAACCAGAAAATATTACGCAAATTAACCAAAATAGACGAAAAAGAAGCTCGTCATTTGAACAGGAAAGGATTCTTGTATCCTTTTGTTGTATTAAGATTTCCTTGTATCTTTCACATCCATATGCAAGGTACATGAAAGACCGAGTGAAGGAAAGATAGCATAGAGAATTCATGAACAGAAACCATTAGTGCATGTGTAGTTTATTGCTAGAGTTACCTGGATACATAAACCAAGCAGAGGAGAGATCTCTTTCTTCAAGTTATCCCTGATCAATCCATATATCTTCTCCAGGAAAGCAGTAAGCTGTTGCTTGAATAACAACGCAGGATACTTGGCTTCGACCTGTCTCAAGTCATCAAGTCTACCAAGCAGCCGGCTGTTCAGAAGTGAACTCTGTGGAGAAGCTCTCAAACCCTACAAACGTAATATCAAGAAAAATATACGTATAAGAAAAAAAAATTATATTATTGTAGCAGGTCACATTGATAGGCAAGTTATAAAGAATAGACTCATACCTGTGACATCCGCCCAAAAAGAGAAGCTGATGATGTCCTTCGTCTTTGGGGGGTCAAGCTAGCTGCCCCAGTTGCTTTGAGTGTGTGTTGAAGCAGCATCAACAATGTGGATGCATTACATAACCAGTAGGCCAATACATCATTATTATCAGGGGCCTTCAATAGGGTTTCAAATATTTAGTGTTCGCAATGGTAGGATTGACAGTAATTGCATTTTCCAAAAGTATGTGTGTGTTTGTCTGTGCGTGCGTGTGCGTGTGTGTGTTTACCTCTACTGCTGAAGCTATAGTTTGAATTATGCGGTCAAACACACCAGTCCTCTCAACCTCGAATGACCTCCAGTGGAGAAGGCTTTTATAAATGACACAAGCGGCAACTGGTTTGCCACTCGAAAATCCCAAATCTTGTGAAATGCACTTAATCAAGATGTCCTGGTTTTCCTAATGGAGACGAGCAGATTTTGATACATGCATTAGACAGAATTTTTACTTTTGGGGTTGGAGAAGATAGAAATTAACAGAAAGCGGCGCAGAGTAATTTTATTTTTGATATGAACAAGCAGGTACTTACTTGCTGCTTGTCATTAAGAGATTTCTGTGGCTTTTCCTCAGACTCAGGCTCCTTTGGATTTGCCACAACAAGGGCAGAGTCCTAAGGCGAGCAACAACAATAAGCATTTACAAAATAAAGCTAAATATTTACACAAATACATCATCTTCAGATTTCCAAATCAGAGCAATAACAGTCTTACATTTGCAAGCTTTGTTTCTCCATTTAGAATAATTCCATTTTCGGGAGTTCTCTGTAATGTCACCAGGAAAGATAAGAATATCTCAATCACCAAAAGGTGCATAAAACAAAGTATATAAGCATTACCTGAATAATAGTTGTCCTAGGCCGGGCAGACATAGATCTGCCTGTAGGTGACATAGTTAGAGCTTGTTGACGAAGTACTTGATTCTCTGACTCAAGGTTTGACAGCTTCTCTTCAAGCCTGACATGAGAAATTAAACAATCACAAATTAAATAATAACATGAAAAAAGAAAAAAAAAAATTGTAGGTAAGTAACTTTTCGTGGCAGTAATTTGTTTTTGTTTAGGGAGCTGACTGGAAATTTTCTTCTTTTCCCTTTCTTTCGAGTTTCTGCCCGGTAGCAGGAAAATTGTTAACTCTAAACAGCGCATGACTTATTACTTGAAAAGGACATATAGAGAGAAAATTGATGGTTTCATATGTTGAGAAACATTGATTCCAAACTAAATATTACGATGGAGCATTGAAAAAGAAATACAAATGTTTATCTTTTACTGGCCAAATGCAACAATCAGCAAAGAAGTTCCACACACACACACACAAACTAGAGAGAGCGAGAGAGAGAGAGAGAGAGAGAGAGAGAGAGAGAGAGAGAGAGGTCATTCCCCTGCCAAATCGCAGGGCAATAGAAAGAGAGGTCATACACCTGATCAAAATATATACTCATACGATTCCAACTTTCACTTGGTATGCGTACCTTTGTGCAGAATCTTGAAGCTGATCCAATTTTCCCTCAGCTTGCTCCAGTTTTTTAACCAAATCCATATTTCTGGCCTCAGCATCTGCAGCAGCATTTTTAGCTTCTTCTGCAGCCTGCTTTTCTGACAGCAGCAAAGACTGCACAGCATATAGAATAGGGTTACAGGAGTGATTCCATACTCTGACAGTCGGACTTCATTGTTTAAGCATTTAAATAATGAATAATCTAAAGAATTAGAATTATCATTAAGCTCAAGAAAACTTATTTATGTAAATATATTTGGTTTATAGAACAATATAAAATTGTTGCAATAACAAGAAAGCCCTTATTCTGTTGTCATTCGTCACCAATCATAGCCACTTAGTAACTGTTGCATAAATACCCATGGAGATGATAGCTTTACCGACATTCTGCCAATTGAGGAAGTATTTAGCTGTGTGATGCTAGTCTTACTCTCTTAAACAAAGTTTGAGAAAATACAGAAACATGCCATGGAGAAAGATGCTGTAGCGCTGATATTTCATATGCAAGCAATTCTTTTTGTCTAAGAAAAAAATTACCTTCAAACTTTCAACTTCAGCTGTTAATGTATCAATCTTTGACGTATCTTGGACCATGATTGGGGTTTCTTTAATGACTGGAGGAGCTTCTTCAATTGCTTTCCGTGCCGCTTCTCGTTCTTTTATCACTCTAGCATTGGCTTCTTCCACTTGTATTTGCATTGACTGCAATGCCTCCTGTAACTTAGCAATATCTTGTGCTTTTGTTTCCTCCAGCTCAGTCTAAATTCGAGTAACAAATGAAAGAAGAGTTTCTATCAGTCGAGTTAAGAAATCACGAGTGATAATCTCTGAAATTTTTGGCAAAATGGTTACCCTCAATCGTTTCTCAAACTGCAAGCGCCATGTAAGCTCTTCTACTTTCTTTTCTAGCTTGTCCTTGGCTTCTTTTAGGGCCCCCGTTTCCCTTGCAGCCTAAGCCAATACATAAGCATGGTTAGATATGGTGCAAAAAGACACCTGCTTTCCAGAATGAAAAAGCATAATTAAGAACCATTTTCAGATTTCGAAGCTCTCTCCTAGCGACACGTCGCCTCCAACCACATTGGGTAACAATTGTAGCCTTTTGAAGGCTTCTATAATAAGAATATTCTCTGTGACAACGCGTTTGGGCCTGAAAACAAGCAACAAAATTATCAACTCTGTCAATTCTTATACTCTCCAGGTTCATAAATTTTAATTGAACTTCTGCAGTACGAACTAATATAAGGACCTGAATTTTGATAGCAGCCTTAGTCTGTTTCCTGAATCTGAATTCATTGCGAGCAGTCATTGCCCTCATGCCAGTCTGCACTATGATAGCAGAATTCTGCAACGTTGAGTAGGATGCCCTGGAAATGTAGCATCTGAAGTTCTTCTGAATCTTAATTGCAGCAGCTTCTTGTCGCAATTGCTCATAAAGATTGCGAGCCGATATAGCTAAGAAAGGTAAAAATGAAATTAAAGTTTTAACCTGGAAGTTCATTTTATTGATAGGCAAATAGCACATTTATCAAGATGTTTTACTGATTAGACAAGGATATCAGGATACCAGAGAATCTTAAAGTTTGAGTCAAGCAGCAGATATGCAGATGCCTATGGTCAATTGGTGCAATGTGCAGGTAGCATTGGACTGGTAGAGTTACACCCCAAAAAGAATCTTTGCAATTCTAGAAAGTGTTATGAAATTATATAATGATTTTCTTGAATATACCTACCTCATTCAAAGACTTTGGTTTCTAGGGAAATGGTAAACCATTTGAGTGTAATACATCTAGGCACCCCCAATCATGTGCATAACACTACGATGAACTTGGCATATTAAAAAATTTTGCAAGTTTGATGTTGAGATGGATTTCAAGGCACCTTGTTTTGCCTGGGTTTGATCCCATATCATATAATCACCTTATTTCAAAAAGCTTAAACTTTAGTAACTATAGACGTCCTATTACTGGCTAACAACATATGCACATTCTTTCTTGTTTAGAGCTCCTCTTCTGGATGAGAGTTGAGATCAGGTCTAAAAATAACCAAGAAGAGTTACCTCGCCAACATGATTGCAACTGAATAGAAGCTCGGCGCAAAACAACAAAATCTTTCCGTGCAATATAAGTACGAATCTGCCTTTGAATTGTTCTGGCTGCATTTCCAAGAACCTCAGCTCTCCTAGCATCTAGCTCAGCCATCTGACCAGCTCGTAGAAAGACCTTTGTCTTACCTAACTGCGAACCAAAGCACAAAGAGATGATATCATGAACAAACTATCTTACCCTGCAACTGTAACACTGGCCTATCAACATGCATAGCACATTTTATATTTTTTAATCCTGAACCTGAAGTAGAAGTTTGGTATCCTTGAACTACATCCACAACTTATATGTCTGTAGTTCAATCCAGACAATACCATACAACGTCTGGTCCTAAAGAGTAGGTAAAATAATGCAGTAGTATTTAAATATACACCGTATGTAATATACCAACCTGGTAGCCCTTTAATCCCATCTTATCCAAAATCACCAGGCACGCAGCCTTGTCATCGATGCTACAAGAAAAAAAAAAATAATAGACTTATTTGCAAGCAACACAGAGTATATAAAATGAAATGTGAAGACAGGTAAACATAAGCAAGGCAGATTATGTGCGAAGTTCAAGAATTAATTGATTTCGAGCACCAGAAGAACTTACTTCCCGTCCAAAACTTCAGGAGCAAGAACACCAAATCGGAGAAGGAATTCATCAAATGTACGTCTGGTGGGGTATCCAGCACAGCTGATTCTAATAGCTTCAAGAACACCCTATGTCATAATGAAAATTTTAGCACATATTCAAACATTAAAATATAACAAATTGCACACGCTTCATCGTGAAACCTAAAAACACGAATTGAGATTTACAAGAACTAGATTTTCAAAAGATACTTACACCACATCGCAGTTGCTGAATTATGTTAAGATTCTCAAAAATGGCTGGCTTGAGAACATTGTTTGGTTTCACACATCTGATGTAATGAGGTTCTGTTGAATTCAACGTCTCCATTAAAGATTGTAGTTGTAGCTGTGAGCATAAAATATAGTTCATAAGCACCATGCAATGTTGCCGAAATACGTCGAAACTGCAATCGAAGATTCAACATATGCTAAGGACCATTTGATACAAATGAGCTATTTTTCGTTTTTTCATGAAGTGAAACCAAACAATTAGAAAATTTAGCAGATCCTCATTACGTTGCCTGAACACGTGTCAAGGAAAATCCTGAATCAAATGTCAACATTCTTTATTCACATGGAGTGACTATTCACTGCGCATAACCAACCTTTCACATCAGGATGCTGTCTCAGGGGAAAAAAAAAATCCACAGTTTCATTATAAATCTAATTTAGCAAATTCATTGTTTACGAGCAGTCAGTATATTCAATCTTGATACCATTTCTAATAATCGTAGTATTACATATGTTCAAATCAAAATGGGACTAGCAGTTTTAGTGCTGGTACAAGTACCAGTTCGATACGAGCGCCTTTCATTTCATATGAAAAGCACAGATAACGACAGGAACGTTAAGGTTCACGGAACAGTGAGATAGGGTAGAACCTTAAAACGTGACCCTATCGAGGAAAACTTGGAGGACTTTGATGATTCTTCAGGAAGAGCAGGAAATAAACCAGCTACAAAAGAGCACTTTGAAGCTGTTAATAAGTCTTGATGTTCGGCCACCACATAATCTTTGTTCTTATCCAGGAACAGATCTGCCATATATGTGACCTATAAATATCGAAGATGGTTAACAATTTCCTTAGGAAACAGTGGTCTTCTTATCCAAACGTTTTTTTCTCTATAATGCATCTTTACCTCCCCTGCATAGTGAGCTATGGTAAAATTGGTTCGTGAGAGTTTCGGCTTGATGAAGCGTTTATGTTTGGCAAATGTCTGATATAACTTCTGAGCAAATGTTTCATGAGTAGATTTAGGAAACATACTGCCACAAAGAACAGTATCAATAAAAACACACTTAGATGAAAACAAACATAAGAACAAGAAACAATTTGAATGTATTTGACATGATCATTGATCATAAGAAAATAAGAAGACAAGACGAAGGATTATAAAAACCTAGCAGCTTAGAGATGGAGGATGCGCATGAAAAGATGTGAATGTTTATATAAAACAGAGGAACAACTGAGGATAAAACAACATATAAGACGACATACCAAGCTTCATCGAGCAGTGCAATTATTCCTCCTGGTTTCTGCCAAAAAATTATAAAATATTACTTGCGAGCACTAAGATAGATAAAACAGTCTAATACTCCAAACAAATATTGCAAATTCAACATGCATGCAAAACTTGGCCAATGATATACTTAATGGAAATATCTACATGAAGCAACGGAAAATGTAAAAATAAATATAATGCCCTTAGTCCCTCTAACCTTCTCAATTAAATCAAGAACATCTTGGTTATCAACAAACTCAATGTAGCTCCAGTTTATCTGTTCTTTCTCATAGTCTTCTTGTTCCATCTTGAATACATGCTGAAAAATTTAATGTGAACCTCCAGTGAGCAGATCAAGTTATTGTGCTATAAATTAGAATAAGCCTTCATACAATAATGTAAATGGACCTGGTTGAAATGCTGCTGCAATTTTTCATTGGTGAAATTGATACAGAACTGCTCAAAGCTATAATAAATGCAAAGAATATCAGGAGAAGCACCAATGCTTAAAATGAACTGAAAATGAGAACACAAATGGGAGATTACCTGTTGTGCTTAAAACTTTCAAACCCGTATATGTCAAGTACTCCTATAATTGCTTTTGAGTTGGGGTCTTGCCCAATGGAGTTATTTATCTTTTCCACAATCCTGTTAGCAATAAAAAAATAACAGTTCAATATTAAATTGCACACAGTCATGACCAAAACATTGATGTAGAGCCACAAGTTAGATTACTAGGAACTGTTCATACCAATCGAACAAACGAGAATATATTGTCTTTGCCAAAGCATCCCTGCTTCCCAACGCAGCCTCTGGATCAAGAGTTCTTGTGATAACTTCCTCAGGTGTCACCATCACTCGCTTAATCAGTGCATCTTCTAAGCTCCTCGGATCACACCTATTAAATCAAATTCATCATATGCAATTGATTGTAAATCAGATAGAAACCTTCATTCAAAATCGACGGAAGATATTATCCCTACTTGAGTAATTCGGCAGTTGTATTGAGATGAAACCTTGACTTCTCATCCTTAATCACAGAAGAATCAATTTCCTTTCCTTTGGAAAATTCAATATTACCAAGATGAAGGATTGATGCAACAACCCGGAATATAGCATCCTGAGAAAAAATAAATAAAAGATTTTGACAAATTTATGCAGTAAAAATAAATGTTGAATGCTTGACTAATTAAGTTATTTTTAGGTTAACCTGATCTTCCTCACTGATCCCAACTATATCCATAGCTCTTCTGGTTGCAAGGTATTCCTCAGTATCACTTACTCCCTCGAGTTTATAACACTTAGACTGGTTAAGATAGTGATATGATTCTGGGTTTCCCAGCTTATACTTCTCTCTTTCCTGCAGAATAATAAAGACATAAAATGATGTCAAATATTAAAGCACATCCAGCGACGTGTGGATTAAAGCTTTCATGTAGTTAGGAACTAAAATACAAGGAAAACTCCAAACAGGTACCTCCGGTGGTGCGGCACAGAGAAGATAGAAGCAATGATAGTTTCTTTCAGGATCAGAGATTTGACAAACACGAGATCTCTCCAACAAGTAAGTTCTAACAGCTGCTCCAGATATTCTACCACTTTTGTCGAATTGGATTTCAACGAATTTACCAAAACGGCTGCAAAAAGCAACACCATGTACATCATTTCGGTATGTTATAGCTAACTTTTCATAGGATATCCATTTATTAAAATGATCATCCAATTATCACAAGACGAATAAATTCTTTCTGATGTAATTGAAGAACTATGACATTCACTTGCCTGGAATTGTTGTTCCTGACAGTTTTGGCATTTCCAAATGCTTCAAGCACTGGGTTTGACTGTAAATAACAAGGAAACCAAATGAGAGAACAGTTGTTTCATGATTAAAATTAGTTTCAGAGATTTTCATTTATTTTCAATTTTCTTTTGGCAGAACAGTGGTCATCATCCAACTAAAATGTCAATCTTACTTCTAAAACTTGTTGTTCAACTGTCCGTCCTTCTACTCCAGAACGACCACCCAAGTGTGCAAGATATCTCATCAGCATTTTAGTCGTTTCAGTTTTACCAGCACCACTTTCACCGCTAACTAAAATGGAGTTGCTCTTTCCTTCATTGATCATTGCCCTGATCACAAAACGTAAGAGGTAAAAAAGGAAGTGATGCCCCATCTCAGCCCAACCAACTTACCCCTCAAACACACAAATCTTGAATAAGTTTATTTTGCATGTTCCAAGAAATACCTGTAAGCAACATCCGCAATCGCAAAAACATGAGGACTAAGCTCGCCAAGGGATGCCCCTTTGTATTGCTCCATCATGTGAGTATCATATAGATGTGGTAGTCTTTGGAAAGGATTTATTGCGATCAGAATATTCCCAGTATATGTCTGAGAAAGAAGTATTTACATTGACAATCATCAGATAGATATGTTATTCACGGAAGAAGCAACGAAGAAAGTTAACGGGAAAGCCAATCTTTGCAGCACTGTAAGATAGAGCATGCAGCTACTAATAACAATCATAAAGACACAAATAACTTACATATATTTCATTCAGTTCATATCTAGTAGCCAGGTTTTGCAGAACTCCAGGTTCATGCAAATATGAAAGCTTAGTCATGTCATCTACACCTCCAGGTGGTGCTTCAGTGTCCTTTGGAAACACTTTTGCGATGTTTGCAACGACCTGCATTCTAGAGTACATTAGATTTCCCATCTCAACCACCAAAATTCTTCCAAGCAATAGTAGCATGAGTTAGAAAAGTAGATCTGATGCTTCACCACAATGCAATATGAGAAAATTTTCTGAATCTAAATATAGGGTGTTCGCTTAGAAAATGGAAAAACGTGCTTGGAGACATCATCACTCGTGAAGATTAAACAATAATATGCCTGAGAAAAACAGAATATTGGAAAAACAGTAATTTGAGTTGTTTAACCTTTCCAAAACTGCATAAGTCAGAATATTAGGTTATTCTTATGCATCATATGAGTTGAAAAATTATAACTTCATTTGTAGCAACCACCTTTTTCCCATTTGTGGTTTGGACATGAACATCTTGGCCATCTATCCGGTTTACTTGTCCATCAACCCAAGCCAAGACTGGATCCTCAACCCATACATGAGAACCAACAATGATATTAACTGGTGATGCCTGCATGAGAGGGGAAAAAAAATTGTTGGACGTCTCTTTGAAAAATAATAGTTCGGTCATGTGGTTAGTGGTTCCCCATGCTCACAGTCAAACAATTGTCTTCACTGAAAATATTAATATCTTGTTTGAATTTAGTTCTTTCAAAAAAAAAAAAAAAAAACAACCCATTCCATTTAGTTGTTCAAGTAAGCAATACACATGTGCATAAATGCACAGGCATTTATACATTAATATCATATAAATGTGTATATACATTGTGTTGTAGTGTGCTTATGTATAATTATGATGATATCATCAACAATAGTTTAGAGATTAGGGGGTCAAAGTAGTTTAATAGATCTATGCAGTAAGAAAACATGTGGTTAAGAGGCAAGATAGAGAATAAAAAAAATGGGGTTTGACATTTAAAGAACCGATAAAGCCTTAAGGAAGAACAAAGAGGCGCTTGCAAGGGATAGCAAATAGAAATCATGACAAAAGTCCCATTGACAACAGATGCAACAGAGGGAAGGGTGTGACAGCTCTTGAAGTGGATGAAGCAACATACAGGTTGACTAACAGTCTAACACATGGCAAGGCCATGGAAGATGAGGGGACTGACAGGGCGTGCATGCTGTGCGTCCTTATTGTGCAGTAAGTATAATTTAGTCTTTAGACTGAATCAGATTCCAACCTAGATTTATTTCAATTTCCCCAGGTTACATCTGTTGGTATTTTCACCTCGAGCACTACACAATTAACTCCACGAGTGTTCAAAGACAACTGTCTAAAACAAATTCTGACCTAAAACTTTAGATACTTGTTTTTAAAGTGAAAAAAATCCATCAATAACATAACAATTGCAAAAGTAAGTATTATAATGAGCCAAATACACCTCAAAAGAAAATTAATATGCATGCCTCCTGAAGTCTAGACATTTTCGCAGAACAGGATAAAAACTTGGCATCAAAACCATGTAATTTAAAATGTCTTAACACCCATAAGCCATAGTCCATCACTGGAGCATATAACATGCCCAAGAGTCTAGGAAAAAAGTGGGTGCAAGGAATTCTTTCACCAGTGGAAGAGCACTAAATTGAGCAGCTACTGAAGTTGTAGATTTCAAACTTGGACTCAACTAACTAAATGTACGAGCAAATTATTAAACTACCTTCTCCGCTATGTTTCATGTAACACAACTTGTACAAAAAATTAGCATCAACCATCAATGTATAAATATAACAAAATATCCCTCCACGCAGACAATAGATAATTCTATCTCAGACACAAAACGATAACCGTTTACAATTTTACACAGTTTATGGAAATATCTCTCATTGTTGATGGAAAAAGTCAAATTTAATGAGTATTTCCCTCCTATTTTCTTGATACTAAATAAAGGCAAAAAGGAATTTATTTTAACTTTGACAATTTTATTTAAATTAAAAATGCCTCTCTTCATGGCACAAAATAAACTAATCACGTGGCGGAAACTGATAAACCCAAGATTAATTATTTTAAGAATTGATCCTAAGCATGAAATTTATCATACAGTTCAGCTTTTTAAGCAATAAAATGCCCACGTTTGAAGTAACGATAATATGGTATATATCAAAGTCCCAATTTCAAGTTCAATCTCTGGTCTATCATTAGGTTGGAATGTTTCATACAGTTTGAAGTGCTCGGCTTGTCTTCTTGTAAGATCTATATTAAGCTGCATTAAGCTATATTTCTAATTAAATCCAAACTGATCTTTAAGAAGTTTGGAGAAATGGTTGAAGAAGAGAACCCTGTGGTATAAGTTCCAAACTGAAAAGCTACTGTCACATGGAGAAGAAGACCAAAAAAAAAAAAGAATAGACCCGCGCGTACAGAATGAACAACCCCATACAGCTATTCCTGATTAGAACATTAACTGCTTCATCATAACGCACAAAAACTGGGACTAGGAATCCAGAAGCTGTTTGGCTAAGCTTACTTTAAAACCCCGTAAGACACGGCTGTTTCACAGCTTATTAGATACCAATTAATAAGTTAAAAATAGAAGTGTATTTATTATCCGATTTACAATCATCGATATGAATACGCTCCAGGTGAAAGAACCAAATGAATAACTTTGAATACCTGACAACTTCTGTACAAAAATTACAACTAGAAGCATTGAGTTGCTACAAAATCGCTAAAATGCATTTATATTGTAAAATGCATGTGCAGAGTCCAAATACCACATAATTTGAAATCAAAATATGTCACCAATCCTCAATCCGCCTTGTGCATAAGGCACAGTTTCACCAGTTCTAAGTTCTAAAACCATTAAAGCTCCCAAAACTAAACAATATTGAACATCCCTTCAAGCAATGACAATTCAATCAGATACTTTTCTTCCTCCAAAAAATGGACCAGAATTAAATAAATGTCAGCTCATTCTGAGTTCTAACAGTGCAGTGCCATTCTCTTTCTTGTTCAACTTTTAGACAACAAAGTATTCAGTGTCAGCCAACACTCTTCTTCCCTGGTTTGCCTCCAACTGCAAATTTTCGGGCCCCAAATATAGAAAATGCACCCACACACAGACACACACACACACACACACACACACAAACACGCACGCACACACACAAACAATATATATAGAAATTTATATCTCGCCTATGAATGATACCAAAATTGAATCGAACTTGACTAAAAACTCCAGTCAAAACAAAATCAAAAGCTAGTCATAAACACATCAAAACGGCAAGTAGGGGCGTCGTTTTACGGATCAACGTACCATCCGTGACTACCCAAAGACTCGATCTCCTGTTCCTCAGAGATCGAGCCTCGGCTAGCTAGTCAGATCGGCGCCGGACACAGGTCGCAAACTCCGATACTCCCCCCGGTCGGCCGGAAAAAAGAAAAACGAGCAGAAAAGTAGAGCCCCTTTATCTCCTTCGGCGACAATTCAACAGCAGCTGCGGCTGCTTCAGCTCCAATTCTTCGCCTCCCCCACTCTAAAAAACACCAAAAATTCAAAAAAAAAAAAAAGAAAGAAAAGAAAGAAAGGAAGAAAGAATATGGGTTCTGTGCGATTTTCCTCTGTGCGACTATGGAGGATTTTTTTTGGATTTTCTCTCTCTAGAAATGCGTTTGTGCGCCTGTCAATGGCTGGTCAGCTGGAAAATGTAGAGTCCTACAGAGAGAGAGAGAGAGAGAGAGAGAGAGATAGAGAGATTAAAATGGCACTTTACACTAAATCCGACATTAGGGGCGGCCTTTAATTTGTCCAATTATGTTCTTGCGTTTTGGTTTAATTTTGTTGATTTACGTATTTGCCCTCCATATGATCGAAGATATATAATAATAATAATATCGTGTAATAATTTGATAATGACGTAATCGTGCGTGGTATTATCCGATCAATCCATAATCCTGAGTATTACTGAAGTAGTAAAATAGAATATTAGATATTAAGTTGGGATCTTCTACAGTCAGGTCATGGTTGTACCTATCTAACATCAGGTAACCCCCCATTTCACCGTTGGATTGACTAAGATATGACAATGAACGATGGATTGAAGGGTACAAGGGAAAAAAGAATTTTGGTAGTCTTGTATTCTCTCTCGTACCCCTCGTACTTGTAAATTCCTATTATA